ACATGAATACAAATTAAGTTGCAATGAAAAATAAGGAGGAAACTGTATCAGACTTAAATGAAATACATTATGCACTAATGTGTTTTAGCATTCAGACACTGAGAAGAAGTATCTTCTGTAAGAAGAAATGAAAGACAGCACACTTGGATTTTAGAAATGTGCCACACCATTTTAATGGCTGCCCAGAAAAGCTTCTCTGTGTTTGTAAAAGTGGTGTGGATGGGTGGATGGGTGGAATGAGATTGCCAAAGACGGTGCAGAAAACAAAGACTGTATTTTAGAAGCAGCTTTAACCAGGCTTCCTAAATTGTTTAACTAGTCTGATTAAATAATTTAGATCTAAGTAGGTCTAAATTATTTAGACTAATGTAGTGTTTTGAAACATCATGCATGGTCAGCCCTTAGAAGAAAGAACACAGCAGCAGCAAGGTGTAAAGATTCCTGAGGTGGGTTTCAATGGCAGATTTTACTGAACTGGTCCAGGCTACTTCTACCAGCACCACTGAAAAACAAGAGCAGTTTAAGCCTGTGTAAATTCACTGCTTTTCCCCACATGAACAGACAGTGTAATGCATCCTGAGCATCTCTGAATGTCAGCAAAGCTGGCCACAGAATAACACATCAGAGTTTTAAAAACACATCCTGGACTGATGTTTGAGTATTCTTTCAGCAATGTTCAGAAGAAAAGTTTGACCAAAAAAAACTTTTCTGAAGGAAGGGTATGAAAGCTCACCAAACCCATAAATACAGCAACACTGTCTTTGCAAGGTAGACATCTGAGACAATTATTTAAATAACAAAGCAGCCGAAACTGCAATGAACAGGTCTTCATTTAAATATCACCCTATTAACTAAATATTACTTAGAAACTGGTAGATAGCACTAAGGCCTGAAAAGATACCAAATCTTCAATTACTTCATTTGGATTCTTTTTCAAAGCTAAGAAAAACAAAGGACTTAGTCTTAAATGGGACAAGGTAAACGTGTATTTCAGCAGAGTGAGTTTGAGCTCACCTCTGTGTTTTCCCTTAAGTAAAAAGGGAAGAAGATACATTGATGGGGAACCACTATAAAGACCTCAAGTTGCACCAAACTGAATTCTTTTATTCTCATACAATTGTGTTTTGCAGAATGCTATGAAGTTTCATTACTTGTGGACATTATAAATGGAAATAATACATATATACACATATGACCACACTCATGGTAAGTATTTCTCTATGTGACATTAGCCCATTGCTTTCCTTATTAACTCACTAAACAAGTTCATAAACTCGAAGTAATCATTTTAGTACATGTTTTTAAGGTTGTACAAAACCAAAATTACCTGTATAGTTTAAAAAGGAGTTTAAAAGTAAATAGGTAATTTTGGAGACAGTGACTCCTTAATGTCAAAAGAAAATGTGGAAAATATAAGGGATATAGTCCTTAATGAAAAGAAAAAGTAGAGACTTGGATTCTGAAGACAGCTGAAAGTTCATTTTTGATGCCTGTTGATGGATGCACTTTACAGAATCATGAGACATTTTGAAATGAAGAATTACAACCTCTAACCATCCAACTGCATGTACTGTCATATATTTAATCAAAAGTGCACCTAGACCCCAAGAAGCATATGGTTTCTAATGTTAACATCTGTTTTCCTTTTCTTGAATGTTGGTGAGCTAGGGAGAATCCATGCTGCAGTATTTTGTAAAAGTAAAATGCCCACAATGAGTACATTATTACTTATAGGTGGGGGAAAAAAACGGTGGCATCTGGGTGCTTTGCCCTTTTGAACTTGAAAGAATGCAAACCAAGAAAATATATCTCATCTGTCAGACAGCATAGAATCTGAGTTCAAGCAGAACATGTTTGAATGCAGTGATAGAAAGTGAATGCACAAAGTAAAAGTGAAATTATTATGAACAGATTAGTTTGCAGCAGTCACAGCATATGGGCTAAGGAGCAAGGATTTTTTAAATGGACATCATGGCAAAGATAATTTTTATGAAGTGATGCAGGAAGCAGACTGTCCTTTGAGGATAATTTTAACTCAAGCAGACTCACTCAGCTTCATTGTAATGAAGAGAATTAGGATTATCTAGTACATATTTTCTGGAGTATAGGCCAGAAAATACTCCATATTTTCTGGAGTATTGGCCATTCTGCTACATGGCCAAATTTGAGAACTCCTTCTCTCCTTTTCCACTAGAGTGGAGTCCCTGGCATGTGAACTCTTGGGGCTGGGAGAATATTTGTGTGAATATCACTGACTGCACATCCAGCTCTTCTTGGGGTCACTGGTGTCACCCACTGCTGTGTCTCTGGCTTTGGAGGCAGCACACTGCCAGGTCAGTGAGCAAAGGGGATAATAGCAAGCTTTTAGTCCATCTCCCAAAGTAATATAATGTCCATTTAAATCAATTCCATAGAAAATCAATTCAAGGTGAAGACCTCAAGCTGAAAACATCTGATAATAAACTGGTAGGAAAAGATAGTGCAGCTGATCATAGCTGGCCTTCAGTCTGCAGTCTGTCTGTAGGAGGGTTAACACCAATTCTTGAGGCAAGCAGTCAGAAGCTGGAGTTTTGTATGTAATGCTTCCTTTTTCAAAAACTCTGAATTCTTCTTCAAGACTGGATCTTAATCTTTAGCCTATATAAGCATATGGAAATCTGTTAACTGCCTAAACAGATAGTGGAGCTTTTCAAATCTATCCTAAAATATCTCTAGGTTGCTTTCTTCTTTTACATGTGTAGCTTTCTTTCAGAGCTCTGTTTCATAATTATTTCCAGATTATAAAAGCATGAGCTGGAGTTAAAAAATGTGGTTATACCACCACTTCCAGGTCAGCACACACAGCATATGTGCCTCCTTTGTGCTGGTTACAAGTATTCCTGCTTCTCTGATCTTTATTCCTTGATCTTGCCCACTGTGCCTCAGAGATGCACCAGGGGAGCTCCACAATTGCTTTGTGAGAGAGAACTTCAAGTGGAAGAAATACCCACCAGTGGAAGAAATACCCACCAGTGCCTGCAGAAAGGCAGTGGGTAATATAACTCTCCCAGTGAGGCTCTAATAGAATTTCTTTAATTTTGGGGAAGGAAACAGAGAAAAAAGTTATTAGGAAGAAATTTAATGGGGAATGGGGAAGTTTTGATGAACAAAGAAGGGGAAAATCAAATTTATGCTAATGCAGTTGATGAATGACTGGCAAGAAAGGATGATTGTGTGGTTAAAGCACCCATGCCTGACTGAGGAAATCTGAGTTCATTTCCTGGCTTTGCTATCTCTTCAGCTTTGAGCAAGAGATTTAATCTCTCTGCTTGCCTTTTTTTTTTTTTTTGCCTTCCTTCACCACAGCAGAGTCATTTTACTTTAGATTGTTCTAAGAATAAATGCATTAATGTGGCCGGTACATTTAAGTTTAAGCAGAAAAAAAACCCATATAAAAGCTTCAGTTCTCATTCCTTCTTTTCTTTTTCTAAAAAGGCCTTTCTGCTGCCTATGGGGCAAATGTACCAAAGTCTTCATGCGCTGTGTCTAAAATGATGAGGAGGCATTGCGGTGCCTGGGCTGACATCTGGGCACACCCAGCTCCTAGTCAAGAGGTGAAGAAGGCTTATCAATGACAGGGTGTTGGTTTTATTTCTACACAAACATAGCCTGAGGTGACTGCACAGCTTCCTCCCTCTGGGAGGCCTGGCAAAGCAGGCAGGCAAAAGCTTAGAAAAATTGGCTATCAAAACTTGTGAGAGAAAAGAAACTTAGAACACCCGATGTTGAAGCACAGCAGTATGAGATGGTGAAATGCTGTGCCAATGAAGGCCCCAAAACAGGGCAGATGCAGAAACTCAAGCCCCAAGGCAGAACACTGAGGTGTAAATAACGACTCAGTGATTCACCTCACTGGCAAGGAACTTCCTGAACCTTCTGTCAGTGCCTTCTAATTCCTAGCACAGGTGGAAAATTTGAGGAAATTAAACTCTCAATTAGTACTATGAGCACTGGCATGGAGAATTCCTGGTCTCCCGTGGATGACTGCGAGTCCTTCAGGATTTTTGTACAGCAGGGTCACCACCTTTCTCCTTTGAGTGCCTCTGTTGTAGTGTGGGCAGCAGGAGCAAGGCAGGGACCATCCCAATCCCCGTGCTGGGCACTGCTGGGGCTGCACCTCGAGTGGTGTCTTCAGTTCTGGGCCCTCACTTTACCAAGGACATTGAGGAGCTGCAGAGTGTCCAGAGAGGGGCAACAAGTCTTGTGAAAGATTTAGAAAATACATCTTGTGAGGAACAGCTGAGGGAGTTGGGGTTGTTTAGTCTTGAGGGGGCTCGGTGTGAGGGACATCATTGCTCTGTGCAGCTTGCTGAAAGCAGCTTGGACTGAGGTGGGGCTGGTCTCTTCTGCCATGCCTGCAGAGAGAGGACAGGAGGAAATGGCCTTAAACAGGAGAGGTTCAGACTAGATCCTAGAAGACAATTTTGTCACTGTTTGGATGGTTGGGCACCGGAGTAGGTTGTGCAGAGGTGGTATGGGTTTGTCATGGGGATCTGACGCTGGGTGCTGGCTCAGGGCTCACAGTGCAGTGTTGGGCGGATGACCGCACTGGCTGATGTTAAAGGTCTCTTCCACCCCTGACAGTGCCATGATTTAACCCTTCCATGCCGCAGGGCCGGGACACCCGCAGGCCCATTCCTGCAATGCTTTTAACAACTCCCTTTGCCCTTGGTTCTGCCAGCCAGCTCGACCATTACTGGGGCAGCCTGGCAGAGGCGGCCCGCGGCGGCAGCGCCACACGGCCGAGCTGCGGCGGCCGCGCTGGGCCAGGCTCCCGGTGGGTTCCGGGGCACGGCTGAGGGGTCGATGGGGGCAATGAGGGAGATAGGGCGATGCCTCCCGGCAGCGGCGCCGCCATGGGCAGGGCGGGGCGGCCGCGCTGACGTCAGGGCGGGCGGTGGGGCGCGGGGCGGCTGCGTGTTCCCGCCCTCCGCCCCTCCCTGCGCGGGCCGGGCCGGCCGGCGGGACCCGAGGGCGCGGAGCGGGCCTGCCCCGGGAGGCGACACGGCCCGCGCCGTCCGGCGGTGAGTGCGGGGCGGCCACCCCCGCGCCCTCATCGGGGGCTCTGTGCCCGCGGGGAGCGGCCGCTGTCCTCCGCCCAGCGCCGCCGCCCTGCGCCGGGGCGGGGGTCGCGGCTCGGCCGGGGATGCTGCGGCAGCGGGGGCCGCGCGGGCCGCGGGAGGCCGGGGCCGGGCGGGCGGGGGCGGCCTCAGCGCTCAGCTCCGGGCCCGCTGAATGTCACGGGCGAGCCGCCCGCCGTGCCCGGGCTCGGGGGCAGCCGGACTCGGGGGCAGCCCGGCACGGCGGGCCCGGCGCCGGGAGCGCCCCGGTGCCGGCTCTGCGGTGCTTGGCGCGTCCTGTGTGTGCGGTGTGCGGGCAGACGCACCTGCAGCTGCCTTGGGAGCAGCTGCTGCGAGCTCCGGCCGCAGACGTCTTGTAGCGTGAGGTGTCGTATCTCGAGGGTTTTAATCTCCGAAAAGGGGAAGAAGCAAAAGCACCCAGTGTGTGTAACGATAACGATAAAAAAAATAGTGACGGCGGAAAAGAATTATAATGGTGGCATTTCTGCTTTAGCAGTGATCTGTTGAGATTTATACCAAGGGGATGTTCTGTACGTTGTGGTGATTTCACTTTAATGACACTGAGACTTTGCTTTCGTCACCCAGAGCCTGCTGTTCACTTCGTGTTCTGTCAAATGTACTTTGGCACACAATGAAACGTAGGCAACCTCAGCCTTTAACTTTGAGCTGGAGGAGGTCGAGCTGTTTATCTTCAGTTTAAGAAAGCAAAACTGCATGGGAACTTTGTGCTCTAGCAGAGCGTTAGTGTCCAGGCCAGACATCAAATTAAGGTAAGGATTGTCCATCTGGTATGCTGTGTGAAGATGTAAAGCACTTTTCAGGGGAACTGGTGCATCTTGCAGGGTTAGAGCTTCATGTCTACAGCAGGTTGATCTTGGTGTCTGTGGGCTTTGAGCCTTGGTTTGGTGCAGAATAGAATTTTTTGCCACGAAGGTGTTAAAAGTGAAATGAAGTTGAATCTAAGTTCTCGTTTTGTTACATTTTTATAATTGAGAGCCACTTCACATATGTACTGCGACTTTAGTAAATTTCTCTCTTCCAGAGAAATATACAAAACTCTTGGGTTACTGAGACTTTACTAAATTTCTCTCTTCCAGAGAAATATACAAAACTCTTGGGTTAGCCTGGGGCAGTAAATATTTACAATGTTTGCTGATAATGAATGAAATTGGCAAGACTTTTTATCGTGTTTGCAATGATCACATGCCTCTAAATTCTATGGGCCCATTTTGAATTACATGCCTCCAAGCTGAAGAGGTGATGGCCTAACAAATGGGACATGAGTAACCTAAATGTCAACCAAGGATCTATGTCAATATACAGCTTAGAGTAGAAAAGTTGTTTTTGAAGTTCAGGTTTAATTTCTGCTCATGGATAGTATTTTTCATTATAAAAGTATCAATGTTTGGGTTCCAAAAACTGCCCAGTATAGTCTTTTAACTGTAAAGCTGTTGAAAGGGTAGAAATAGCCTCAATTAACATAATGATCTCATTTAATGTATTGTTATACTAATGAGTAATCCTGTTTAATGGAACTGTTCATGTAGAAGCTCATTGGAGTAAAATCCATTACTTTTGGACCTGATCATCCTTTAAGAGGGATTGGTTATTTGGAATAAACCAGTTAGTAGGAAATGTTGGCACAGGCTCTTTAGATAAAAAGCCATCGTGCCATCACTCATGAGATGAACATTGCTTGCCTGGAATCCTTAGAAAGTGTGGATCTCTCAAAATGGAAAGGAGATGAAGGAATAAAAGGTTACAGAAACTAATATGATGAAATATATCTACAGTGGTTGTGGTGTTCTCTTTCAGCCACTATTCACTGTAAACAGCAGCACCATCTTCTTAATTAGAAGCTTTCAGGCAGGGTTAAGTCCCGTGCCAACAGGGATGCTAAGGAGATCAAAATACTAATGGTGCTTTTGATAATCAGGTTGAAAATCCTGTATTGTGTTTCAGTTGGAGCAATAAAAACAGATTATGGCAATCTCTGGATACCTGCACACATGTATGTTACAGTAAAACCCAAGAGCATTAAATGGTTATCCCAAAGTTGAAGTTTGGCTGGTCAGGAAAGGACTCTGCATTATCTTCCCAGCTCTTGGACACACACCCCAGCTTACTCTTGAACTGCTACCAAGTAGGTGCATTTTGGAAGATATTCTGAGAATGTTGTTTCCTCCTTAGTCAAAAGTAGCTGGATTTGCAGAGTTCTGGACTTTGCTCAGTAGTCATTCTCTGTTCTGAAAGGAGGATTCAGCTGCAGCAGTTCTGCTGACAATATCCTATAGGAATTGAAGAAAGTCTCCTCAGGGTGGTGGTTTTGCTTATCCCTGGTCACATGGGGAACTGGTGTCGCAAGTTCTTGCTAAATTGCCTGATTCACTGCAGATTGTTGGGTTTTTCATGAGCACTTAGTCTGTGCTGAGCTGAAGTCCTGCTCTGCAGAGTGCATTTTAATGGCCTTTATTGAAGAGGTACTGGCAGTGCTGGCAATGTCCTCACTGCAAGGAGGCTTGGCTTCTTTGCCAGAGGAAATGGCTGATAAGGATTTACTTTGATGAGGTGGCTGAGCAACTTATGGATCAGGAATAGCCCTTAAATTGTACATAATTTCTGCAATTATTCCCTGAAGCCTAAGAAATTCTGTGCTTTTAGGCTAATCAGCCCAGATGGCTTGTGACACACACAGCACAAGGGAAGCATCCAGGGAGAACTGAATGTCCCAGCTCCTCTTGACTCAATAAAATGCCTACTTTAAGCTGGAGATTCAAATCTCTTCTAGATAGATGCAGTTTATCACTACAATGTGGATTTAGTTGATAATTCCATTCACACTCTTTTTGTAAGTTGTTTTAAAGATTGGCTTTACTTAAATGCTATTTTTTCTGATCTTGTATGTTAAAATTATTACATAGTCATGTTGATATGTATTTTTGATGGGTTGAGGGTTGCTGTGGCTTTTGAGTTACATTCATCTCAGTAAGGCAAACTTGCATAGGTAGAAACTTGGCAAGGCCCAGGCTGCTGCTGTTGGTAGCAGGAGACTTGAGGGGAGGAGCACAATCTGTCAGCCTGCATAGCCTTATCCATCAGTAAACAGAGTTAAAAACAGCAAAAAAAATATCTCTGTGTAAATCTTTTAATCATGGAAGCTTTCTGAAATGGTAATTTGGATATGTGTAGCTTTACTATGACTCCATTGAGCACTGATTAAGCAAAACAAGCAATATGTATTGGCTTCCTGTAAATTTGAATAAAACACAGCATAGATGACTAACTCTGAAGGGGATCCTGTGACAAACTGTCATTCCTAACTGAACTTACATCTGAGTTTCTCAGATAATCTGTTTTGGTTTTTTTTTCTCCTTCAGTTTCAAACCTCTGGGGACATAACAAATATCTGTGTCTTCCATGCTGTAGGAAACTGACCTTGAGAAGTACAATCCCGTATAGCTGCTGGTGTATCAGAAAGCTGGTGGGAAAACACAAAACACACATTAAAATCCTGGAGGCTGCCAGTCTGTTGTCAAAAACATCTTGGTATTTGTTATGCTGTGGGAAACTTGCAAAGTTGTTTGCTACTCAAACATTTTCAGGGAGTCTGGTTTTGAGACTGGAAACTGATTTATATCAGTGGAATTGTAGACAGAAGCTGTATTGAGTCCAGCACTAATGAAATGAAACTCAATAGCAAGAAAATGATACTTTCAAGATGTGTTTTACAAATAACCAAGTTTCAGCTGAAAGCTGTAATACACAGGTGTGTGGCTGCAGTATTTTTGATCAAGGGTGAATGTTAAGAAGTCAGATTTCAAATAATACAGTATCTTCATGAAAACACATAAATGTGAAACAGACTGGTGTGTTTGGTAGCAACGAGAGTAGGTATGACACATTGCCTCTTCTGGCCATGTAGGGGGTTTAGAAGCAGCAGTTTTAGTAGTTTTCTTTGAGAATCTGTGCAAGACAATGAAATAACCTTGAAAGACTTGTTATTGAGGCTCTGGAACTCCTTGCTTAAGGCAGTCAAGGATGTAGAAAGTTTGGGGGTTCAAGGATAGGTTACACAAAGCAGTGGACAAGAGATCTGTGTAGGGTTCCTGAACAAACTGCATCAAATTTAAGAAATACTATGAATTGAGAGCAGTTGAAGGTTGAGGAAGTCTCATTTTGTCTTTGTCCTAATCATCCCTTTCCTGGTGCATTTTTGTTTTAAGGCAACCACAGGAGTTAATGGGATTTTTGTATTCCTGGCCTCTAAAATAGAATTGACTGGAGAATTGAACTGGGCATTGAAGTGCCATGATCCACACACAGTGAAATTCCATGATTTATATAATATTTCCAGCTTGTGCAGGATTCACTGTCTGTCTTTCCTGATAGCAGTGTTAAGGATTTTCTCTGTCAGTCCTTTTTCTAGTATTTTTTGAAATCCAGCAGTGGCTGACTTAACAATATGATTTTTTTAGATATGTAGCAATATGCTGATGTGTTCTTGTCTCAAGATCATGATCTTCTGTGAAAAACTGAACTATGCTGAAATAGCACTGCAGTATGTAGGAAAGAAAATCTCAAACCTATTTTTTCTATCTTCTTTCTGCTTCATCTTGTCTAATCTTGCTCAGTTATCACGTGTGAACCTCTTCAGGCTTATTGAAGATATCCCAGTGCCAGTGAGTCTATGAATTACATGCAGTCTCTTCCAATTATCTCTGCTTGCCATTCAGCTTAACCTACAACTGCAATTCTTACTCAGGCAGCAGGAGAAAAAGAAAGAATGAGTGTATGTGGCTAGAGGGGGGGAAAAAACCAACTTACATACTGGTTAAAAGCTCAACCTCATTGAAGATTTAAACCCATGGAAATTCTTAATCTTAGGATCCCACATAGAAAAATGTTCAGCAGCAGTTCAGACAGGAAGTATTATTTCTGTTATT